GGCAGAACCAACAGCTTACGTTCCAGCTCCCGGAGAAGTCATTTGTGGTTACGACGAAGAACCAGAGGTAAAATTGTCAGGTTTACTTGTACTTGTAAAACCAGCACATTGCTGTTATATCACCTCTTATTTTCGTAAAGTGGCGACAGAGTATGAGAATATAGGCAAGGCGTAGAATCATCACAATTAGAAGTTTTTGCTCTAACTTCAGGAAGATGAAAGCTGCGAAGTTATTGTCGATGTGGTCAATGAGAAAACAACGGCGGAACAAACTACCCGAGAGATTTTCGATCCAAGTCCCATTGAGAGGGTATGGTAAATTTTTGCAATTTCAAAACATAAGTTGATTAGCATTGAATAGATAGGCAGAGCACGTTTGCAAAGGAATTTTTAAAATTTGGAATAGTTGGCAATCAGGAAACAGCAGCTAAGTAAAGAAAGAGATGTAAAGGTAATGAGATGTCTTTGAAATATCCTTGTTTTGCTGACTTTTTATATTTCTTACTTCCATTTCCACAATTATAAATGAAAATATGTACGAAAAAAACAATAAATTATCAGTATTACCTGTACGTAGTAGAGCTAATATGTAAAATGGTTTTAATTATCCTTTATAAAGATGTCACGATTCTGGACGCGGTGGCAGTCATCCTTGAACGTAAAATATCACATAACATAAGATTTCACTTCCCTAATCCCCCGCCAATGCGAAAACCGTAAAATAAATTAAAATATATTTTTTGTGGCAAAATAGCGGTACAGGCCTTTTCAGAGACTTCGAGAAAAGCAAAGCTACAACGAGGGAGGATGGACGAGTGAAGAATTGAAATCGCTTTACGAAGGAATTACCACGTAAGAAGCTATTGTTTTATTCTGCATACAGTTGGAAACTGTCGACTTTTTGTCTTTTCTTGCGACTATCGGCATGTAATTACATCAAAACTATAATTTGCTCTTCATAAAGCTCAAAATTTTTTAAAACTGCATTATAGCTTGTGACGTTATAAAACTTCTCTGTGAAAAAAATTAAGAAGAGTTGAGAATGCATTTCTATATAAAACTAACAGAAATATTGAAGTTTCCATACAAGAATCTTCTAGGCAGCAGGCAAACACTACTTTTTTACTTCAAAATAATGAGACTAGTAATTGCTGCGAATGTGTTTTTTTTGAAGCGCCCTATTCGCTTTTTCTACAGATTTTTAAGTACCTCTAATATAATGTTCTTTAAAGGTACGGTACGAGGCAAGACGCTCTGGAAGTGATCCATATAAATTACTGCCCTTCAAAAACCCTCGAACAAGTTTTGTAAGTGGGCTAATTTTGGCCTTCCTATCCGATGTTTACCGTTTACAGTGCAAAGGTTGAAGAGATTCGGAGAATGAATGCTGAACACAGGGAGGATCGTCGTACTGGTCAAATTGAGCAGTGGAGTAGCGCAGGATATCGTAATGTACGTGCTGTTCCAGAATACGTGATGTTACCGGTAAGCAACTTAATAATAAAATTAACAAACAAAATTTCTTTTAATAGGTTAATTCAGTTCATTCTTATATCATTACCATTCACTTACCTAACAAAAGTAGGAATTGCCGAACAAGACCAATGCTACTCTTGAATCTCAAGCCGAGGCCATCGCTGTTAGCTTTTTCCGTACTCTGATGTCTAAAAGTTCTCCAAAAACTGCAAAGTTTTTTTTTTGTGAATGCACATTTCTTCGGAATGCTTTGTCCTAAGTGATAAATCAAATGTGTGAAGCTCTCAAGAAATCGAGGAGAGCCATTATTTTCCCATTCTAGGAAATTAGCAATTGGGAAGCTGCCATACAACGTGTCAACCGGCAGATACGATCACATAATGATTATCCGTTGCGTCTTGCAATTGAAGTAAGTTATGAAATTCGAAAAAAGAATTGGTGTAAAACTGTGAAACTGTGAAATTAGAGCTTGATCTTGACCTTTAATTATGTCAGTATTCGTGGTCGAGTGCAGTGTTTTCTGGCAGCGTTTAATGGCGAACGACTTGTTGACAATAAGGCTTTTAACTAATTTCTAAATTGATAGTTATGACCAGCTGGTAAGAGCAGTCTATTGCAAATAATTGCCCATGCATGAAAACTACCTGAAAACCAATCTTATTGGACTATGAAACCTCCCCCTCCGCACTCTTTCCCTCCAAAGGTTTTCGAGAGTGAAGAGAGATTATCAAGTTTCGTCATTTTAGTTGCGAACAAGCATACTATAGTATCTCTCGTTGTCAAGATTTGGTTATCTATCCAGTGTAGTTTTTCTAACATAGGTATGCTTAAACTGAGTGGTTGAGGTTCTTGAATGGTCTTACCACATAAGGCTTACGTTGGGAGTTAGTTGCTATTGCTCTCAAAATGACCATCAATTCGACACTAATCGGTTTTAAACTAGACCTTTTCTTTCTTTTGTATGGAACGAAGTAAATTTTTAGTTCTTTTTTTTAGTCTATCGGAGACATGTACAAGTTTTTCGATTCCCTTTCTTTATATGTCACCAAGAATTGGAAAACTGTCCTGAAAATGCCTAGTATTTGAATATACTTAAAGGATCTTCAGATTGGTTTTTGATGGTGAGATAAAAAAAACTATCGCCTTATCTGGAAGTTACTTTATTAGCAGACATATTGTTTTTGGGGTTGATTATTTGGAAAAGGAAATAATAAAATGCCAATTTGTAGTGTAGCTTTTACGAATTCCCTATAAGCTTTTTATGTTTCGCGCAAGATGCTTTCCGATTATAAAGCCTTTTTCTTTCTTTTCAAG